TGTCCATCTGTCAGCTGGTGAAATGCTGAACAAATCAGGATCTATGAATGTAATGAAATATTATCATGCTATAAGGAATGAACATATGAAGAATTCAGAAAAATTTATAAAGATTTCTATGAACTAAAGCAGAGCAAAGTAGAACCAAAATATCAATTTACACAATGACCACAATAATATAAAATAAAACAAGACTGAAAGATGACAAAACTTATCAGTGATTTAGATTTAGAAGGTAGCAATGGGGGCATGGAGGGGAGAAAGGAGGGATCAAGACATTATAGTTCAAGTCAATAAACAGTTATTAAGTGCCCACTATTTGCCAGGCAGGCAGCTAAGTGGTTCGGTGGACAGAGAGCCAGAGGTAAGACTTAATGGTCCAGTTTTAGTGGAATATGCGAAGTGGGAACTTCTCTGCAGCTGATGTGGAGCACTACGCCTGAAGTCAGGAAGACTTGAGTTCAAATCTGGCCTCTGACACTTACTAGCTGTGTGACCCTGGTCAAGTCACTTAACCTCTGTTTGTCTCAACCCACCTGGACAAGGAAATGGCAAACTACTCTGGTATCTTTGCCAAGAAAAGTCCATGAACAGTATTGGCATGCTATGGTCCACGGGGTCACAAAGAGAAAGACACAGTTGAATGACTGAACAAAAAAATGTGCCAGGCAGTGTGCTAAGCACTGGTGATAAAGTATTAATGGGGGAGACACCTTGCAAACGACTATAGCCTGACATGATATATGCTGAATGAATCGGAGATAATAAACAGATGGAACGTGCTAATGTTAAAGAGGATCACAAAAGGCTTCTTGTAGGTGGGATTTTAGCTGAGGCTTGAACAAAGAAACCAGGAAGTGGAGATGAGGATCTAGAGAATTTCAGGCATGGGAGATAGAATGTCGTGTGGGAGGAATAGTCATTGTCACTGGAGAGCAGGCAGGACTAGAAAGACTGGAGAGGGCCAGGTTATGAAAGGGTTTGAAGACTGAAAGGGTGATTTTGTATTTGATCCCAGAGGTGATAGGAAGCCAATAGAGCTTATTGAATAGGGGAGGGGTGACGTGGTCAGACCTGAACCTTAGCGAGATCACTTTGGCGGCTGAATGGGAGATGGTAGATGGGAGTGGGAAGAGATGAGGCCAGGAGACGAACCAGAACATTTTTGCAATAGTTCAGGTGATGGGGCAGCTAGGTGGCACAGTGGATAGAGCATCAGCCCTACAGTCAGGAGAACCTGAGTTCAAATTCGGCCTCAGACCAAATACTTGACATTTATTAGCTGTGTGACCCTGGGCAAGTCACTTAACCCAATCACAAAAAAAAAAAAAAGGAAAACTAGTTCAGGTGATGAGAGCTAGCCTGTACTAGGGTGCTAGCAATTGAAGGAATGTTTTTGAGCACAGTCACAAAGCGTGTAAGGATCATGGCATGTCTGGGTGATGCTGGAGGGTCCAGTTTTAGTGGAGTTTATGAAGTGGAAATTTCTCTGCAGCTGATATGGTGCTAGGGGATGCAGTGGCTATAGCCCCGGGGTATAGTTAAGAAGATCTGAGCTCAAATCTGGACTCAGATACTTATTAGTTGTGTGACCCTGAGCAAGTCACTTAACCCTTGTTTGCCTCAGTTTCCCATCTGTAAAATGGGGACACACTGGAGAAGGAAAAGAAAAACCACTCCAGTACCTTTGCTAAGAAACCCTCCCCCGCCACAGACTTTGTCCTTGGGTGTGGTGTAGAATTGGACACAGCTGCACAACAGCTATGTGGAAGATAACGGTCAGATCACAGATCGCCTTTACTTGCTTGCTTGTTTTGGTAGTAGGGAGTTATTTTGTTCCATGAGCTGCTTTGGCTGGATAATTCACCAATTAGCAGGCAATGACCAGCCTTGCCCTGCACTCCACTAAAGTGGTCTTCAGAAAGCAGAAGGAGACTTTTGGGGACTTGCAGCCCCTGACTCAAAGATGCACGAGATTCATTGGAATTTCCCAGGTCCGAGTGGCTTTACATACCCCCAGTAACCGAATTTGTGCTGTGGATAAAATAATGCCCTTCCCTTTCAAGAGATTTTGTTGGCTTTTGCCTCCCCCCCCCCCGCCACTGTTCTCAGTCATTCAATTGTTGGGCAACAAATTTTCTGATGTAAGTGACAACTGCTTACATATCATAAGCATAAAATAAGATGGGGAAATGGAAACTCAAACAGCCAATAAGAGACAATGAAGTAAAAAAAAAAAGGAAATGAAAGGATTGACTGGCAAGGAGGAAAACTTTGCTTCTCCCTAGAGGGAGAAAAACAGTCAGTCAGGCCACGAGCATTTATTGAGTGCCTACTGTGTTCCAGGCACTGAGTTAGTGCTGCCAATACAAAGAAAACGAAATGAGAGTCCCTGCTTTCAAGGAGCTGAGTCTAATGGCGGAAACAATATGCCAACAACTATGTTCAAACAAAATATATAGAGGACAAAATACGTAGAGGAGGGAAGGCACTAGCATTTCAGGGGATCAGGAAGGGCTTCTCCTAGAAGATGGGATTTTAACAGAGATTGAAGGAAGCCAGGGAAGCCATTCATAGGTTCCCAAAGTGGGCGATACTGCCCCCTGGAGGGTGCTGGGACAATCCAGGGGGGCGGTAGTAGCATCGGGTGCAAGGGTGGGGGATAGAATAAAAATAAGGGGGGGGGGTGGAAGCATAAGGAAAGAAGAGAAGAAAATTTTGCGTGCTTCATCTGCTGTGTAACAGAGTTAAAGTCTAATGGTTACATTTTTTTTCCCCAAATAAACACACACAATGCCAAGTTATAACCAATCAGTTGTCAAGTCGGCTGACAGGTCTTAATAAGAACGTGTTGGCGGGCATTGTGTCCCACATTGTAGAGAAGTCCAACATACACCGACAGGAATACATATGCATGTAATAACTTGTGTACAATGCGGCACTATATGGTTACATGATGCAATATTGTATCAACAAAATTTCAATGCAGGAAAAACCCCACAAATTTACAATAAATTATCAAATTTAAGACGTGTCATTTAAAAAATGCACATTTTTAAATGATGCAATTTTTTAAAAAAATGTTAAGGGTTAAAGAAAGTAGATTTCTGGGGGGTGCTGAGTAATTTTTTTAAAAGGGGGCAGTAGGCCAAATAAGTTTGGGAACCTCTGCATCAGGTGGAGATGAGGAAGAGAGAGGGTTACTGTCTTTGCTCTTCCAGGCTTACTTCCATTAATCAAAGAATCAATAAACATCTATTAAGTGCCTACTATGTGCTAAGGGCCGAGAATACAAGAAGAGTCAAAAGACAATCCCTGCCCTTAAGGAGTTTACAATCTAATGATTACTGCTACCCTGTGTCCAAGCCACCTGACTCCAACTGCCTCACCAAAAAGCAAAAAAAAGAAAAAATTATTAGGGCTAGCTAGGTGGCACAATGGATAGAGCACCCACCCTGGAGTCAGGCGGACCTGAGTTCATATCCAGTCTCAGACCAGACACTTGACACTTACTAGCTGTGTGACCCTGGGCAAGTCACTTAACCCCAGTTGCCTAAAAACAAAAAACAAACCTCATTCTTTTTTTTTTATTTTGGTCATATCATAAATCCTTATTTATATCAAGCTGAACACAAAGGATCATGGGACCACAATTCAGGATTAGAGTATTCTACAGATGTAAATTATAATAGTATTTAGTTGTTATTTTAATGTTCAGGATCGTCTCATCTTCTTCTGCATCATTATTAAGTATTTCTGATATGCAGACATTTACACTGGGTTACAATGGAGAGATGCTGAGGGAAAAAGAGATTAATCTTTGCCCTTGAGACACTTACAGTCCAGTGATAGAGAAAGAACACAAATTAAAAAGACACTAAAAACCAGATTTCACTCACATAAAGCTATGTCTGCACATGAGGTCTACGAGGTTGTTTGAGTGACTAGAGACGACTCACACTTGCTCTGAGGGAGCCAGGAATGAGGCAGGGAAGGTCGTGCAGATACCCAACCGGAGGGGAGGGCATGGAGGAAGGAGGTCTAGAGCACAGAGGAGGGGGAAGACCTTTCCTGCAGGGAGGAAGATGAACAGGGTAAAGAAGGCTCTAAAAGACCCAGAACCAGTTTTCTTGGATGAAGCCAAAAGGAAAACCAGGATATGATAGTAAATAAGGTCAGTCAATAGACAAACGCTGAGACTGAACAGTGGAGAGGAAGACGCAGGTCGAGTGATACAGACTTTGCTCAGAGAGGCTGCTGCTGCTGCCTGGAGCTTCTCTGCCAGACAATAATAACAATAACTAGCAGTTATATGTGTCACTAAGTGGCACCAGAGTGCCAGGCTTGGAGTCAGAAAGACTCATCTTCCAGAGTTCAAATCTGGCTTCAGACACTTACTAGCTGTGTGACCCTGGGCAAGTCACTTCACTCTGTCTGCCTCAGTTTCCTCATCTGTAAAATGAGCTGGAGAAGGAAATGGCAAGCCACTCCAGTATCTTTGCCAAGAAAACCCCAAATGGGGTCATGAAGAGTTGGACACGACTGAAATGATTAAACAACAGCAGCAGCAGTTATATGTCACTTTAAGGTTTACAAAGGACTTTAAAATTATTATTTCAGGTAATCCTCTCCACAGCTCTAATAATAATGATAGCTAACATTTATATAATGCCTACTCTGTGCCAGGCACTGTGCTAAGCACTTTACAAATATTACCTCTGTTGTTCCTTACAATAACCCTGGGTAGTAAGTACTATTATGACCTCCATTTTACAGATGAGGAAACTGAGGCAGATAGCAGTCAAGTGACTTGCCCAGGGCCACACAGCAAATAAGTGTCTGAGGCTGGATTTGAATTCAGGTCTTTCAGATTCTGGTCCAAGGCTCTGTGCCATCCCTATGACTCCTGAACAGGATTGGGGGAGGGGGGTTCACATCAGCCCCTTCCTAGCTGGTTTCTCCTGCCAGACAATTAGAAGGGAGATGGGGTGTGGGGGAGAATGTGCATCCTTGCTGCCTGCTGGGGGGGGCACGCGCCTCCTTACTGCCCTTGGTGCAGCCCAGCCTCTGCAGTGGAGGGAGCCAGTGAGCCAAGGGCCCCCCCACTCCCTCCTGCTGCCCCACCCCAGGCTACAGGTGTGGCCTGCTCCCTGCTGGGACAGCTGGCAGGGCTGCCCCAGGACCCAGTCAGACCGAAGGTGCTTCGAGTCTTGAGGAGGGGGGAGAGGACCCCGAGCACTGGCAGGGTTCCTGCTGCTACAGATGTGAGAAGAGACTGGGAACAAGAGAGATGGAGAGGAAAGGGGGGAACAGGACCCTGGCTTCTGAAAAGACCCCTGAGGTCCAGACCTGGGGGAGGGGAGCTGGTGTGGGAAGAAGGGACAGGAGAGGGAGGACAGTCCAGTAACAATCCTAGTAACTGAGTGGGGGAGGGGAGGCTGGGGGCAGGGGCAGGAGGCTCCTGGGAGGAGGAGGGGGTTGATAATGGGGGACAGTCCAGTAACTGTTCTAGTCACTGAGTGGGGGAGGGGAGGCTGGGGGCAGGGGCAGAAGGCTCCTGGGAGGATGGGGGGGTGATAATGGGGGACAGTCCAGTAACAGTCTTAGTAACTGAGGTGGGGGAGGGGAGGGAGAGGGGAGGCTGGGGGAAGGGTCAGGAGGCTCCTGGGAGGATGGGGGGGTGATAATGGGGGACAGTCCAGTAACAGTCCTAGTCACAGAATCGGGGAGAGGAGGCTGGGGGCAGGGGCAGGAGGCTCATGGGAGGAGCTGGGAGGATGGGGGATGATAATACGGTTAAGGGCAGCAGTAGGACTTGTTAGGGAGGTTGTGGACAGTCTGTGTGGCAGTCAGTGGCCTGGCGGCAGGCCTCCTCTAGGTTGACAGGCCACCAGAGTACACGTCACCTGATGGCAGGGTTGAGGGAGGTGGGCAGTGAGGACGTCCTTTCCCATTCAGTTCCATTCTCCTGGAGCTGAACAGAAGGGCAGAAGGAGACAAGAGGAGGCTTCCTGAGCTTCAATCTCTAGATTACTCCTCACATATGCTAGGTTTAGAATCATAGTTTGAGCTCCTAAGGGTAGAAGAAATGCCTTTATATGACTGAGGGTATCCCCCTCTCACACTACCACACCACCTTACTGTATCCATAGCAATTCTCCAAAACGTATTTTTGGAAGTGACAGTAGGAACCTTGATGCCTGCCTCCCTACCTCCCAAACTACCTTGTGTTTAACTACTTTGTGTGTGTATATGTGTACACACACATTTGTATTTATGTACAATTACATGCACATTCGCATATGTATTTTAATGTATGTTCACATGCATGTGGGGTGGCTAGGCGGCATGGCGGATAGAGCGCCAGGCCTGGGGATAGGAGGACTCCTCTTCCTGACTTCAAATCTGGCCTCAGACACTTACTAGCTGTGTGACCCTGGGCAAGTCACTTAACCCTGTCTGCCTCTGTTTCCTCATTTGTAAAATGAGCTGGAGAAGGAAATGGCAAACTGCTCCAGTATCTTTGCCAAGAAAACCTCAAATGGGGTCACGAAGAGTCTGACACAACTGAAAAGACTGAATGAAACCTGTCCATATACATATGTGCTTTAATGGTTTAAAACTGTACAGATTTTTGTCACATGCTAATGTGTATGTATATACACACATAATATGTCTGTATATACATATATCTGTGTATATATACATGTGTATATGCATATGAGCACTGTGCAGGTACATATATTGTTGTTTAATTGTTTTCAGCCATGTCTTGACTCTTTGTGACCCCATTTGGGGTCTTCTTGGCAAAGATTTGCCATGTCCTTTTCCAGCTCATTTTACAGGTAAGGAAACAGAGGCAGACAAGGTTAAGTGACTTGTCCAGTGTCACACAGCTAGTGTCTGAGGCTGGATTTGATCTCAAGTCTTCCTGACTCCGGTCCCAATGTTTTATCCACTGAGTCATCTACTTGCCAACACACACACACACACACACACACATCATATTCCTGTGTATATAAATGTATATGTGTATATACACGTATGTATACATGTGTACACACATAAAGCAGGTTTACAAAGTGTTTTACAAATATTATCTCATTTGATCCTCTCAACTACCCTGGGAAGTAGCTGCTATTATTACCTTCATTTTACAGATGAGGAAACAGGTTAAAAAAAGGATGAGGGACTTACCCAGGGTCATGCAGCTAGTAAGTGTCAGAGGCTGGATTTGAACTTGGGTCTTCCTAACTCCAGGTTCAGCTTTCTATCTGCTCTGACATCTAGTTGCCAACAAATATATACATATACACATACACATACATACATGTGTACCTGTACATATACATGTACATGAGCATATACCTATATATACCTATAGAATATTCTGCTGTACATATATAATTTTATTAACTTCATATTTATATTATTTTTTAAAATTTGTATTTGCTATCTTTACAATACAAGCTCATTGCAAGTAGGGATTGTTTTCATTCTTTGTGCTTATATCTCTAAAAACTTAGCAAGTGCCTGGTATAATAGCAGGTGCTTAGGCATTTAAATTGATCGATTGATTAATTGATTATTAATCCTGAAGCTCTGGAATTTGAACAGAGGGTCATCCCACTTGAAAGGTGATATACACTCTGTGTGAGGGTATGTGTATAAAAGGGAACTTCAACCCTCATCCCTGGTTCTGCAGGCTCTGAACTCCCATAGCTCAATTGTAGGTTAACAGGTGGAATCAAATATTGCCCTTTGGCATAGTTGTGGTTCTTAAAGTCTCAGGGCCAGACTTGTGCCTCTCACTGCAATCGAAGTGTAAGCCAAAAGCCTAACTAAAGAAATCTGTCTCCTGGGTCTTTTATTCAACTAGCACATATTAAGTGCCTACTGTGTTCCAGGCACTGTGTTGGGTGCTGGGGATACAAAGCCAAAAATGAAACCCCCTTGAGGAACTTAGAGTCTACTGGGGGTGGTGTGAGGTGGGAAGTATGCAGAATATCATGTACTATATTAGGTGCAGTGGAAAGAGTGCTGAGCCTGGAGTCAGGAAGACTTGTCTTCCTGAGTTAAAACTCAAACTGAGACACTTCCTAGCTGTGTGACCCTGGGCAAGTCACTTAACCCTGTTTGCCTCAGTCTCCTCCTCTGTCAAATGAGCAGGAGAAGAGAATGGCAAACCACTCCACGTCTTTGCCAAGAAAATCCCAATGGGGTCATGGCGAGTAAGACATGACTGAAAAATGACTTAATAACAACAAAAATACGCAAACAAAGAAGGCAGTGTGGGGTAATGGAATAGGCACTGGATTTTGGAATCTGAAGATCTGAGTTTCTGTCCTGGTCCTTTCTCCTTTTTGTGTGAATCTATGCCAGTCTGGGCCCAGTTTCCTTCTCCTTAAAATGAAGAGTTTGGGCTAAATGATATCTAAGCTTCCTTCTAGTTCTAACTCACTCAGAGAGAATAAATTGCAAAGCTCAACTCAATCATGCTTCACCTCTCACCTATTAAACATTATCTTATCCTTCCTGCTTCTGTCTCATTGAGTTCTGGCAAGATCCTAGAGAGGAGGGATTAACCTGGGGCAGAGAAGATTCCATTCCTTAGAACGGGAGGAGAAAACAGGAGTTGCTTTAAGCCGCGTGGCTTTTTCTTTAACTGTTAGACTGGGGTGGATAGGGGTGGGGATGGGGGTCCAGGCAGTGGTATGCTGGTAAATGTTTAATAATCAGCTGGCTGAAAAAATTGACAGCACACACTTTAAAGTTTAATAAGCATTATTAACATTTTCTCCACCACATTTTTAAGTCTAGACAATCAACAAAACAATAAATAACTTAAAGCCTGATTTCTGAGGTGTAAATGCTCACACCGAAAATTTAATAATCAGTTCTTGAACATATGAGCTGGCTGAGTCCAGACACCCAAAGGCCCCCCCTAAGTCAGTCAACCTAGAGTGTCTTGTAGAGGGGAGGTCCAGAATAAACCAAGACTTCCTAGGCTCCTAATGAGACAAAATTTATAAAGTGCTGTATAAATGTGCTATTATCAGTAGTAGTAATAATAGTAGTGGTAGTAGTATTTGTAGAATAGTAGTAGTAAATAGTAGAGTAGTAGTAGTAGTAATTGTAGAATAATGTAGTAGTAATAATAGTAAAGTGCCTTAGGCAGGATTCAAATTCAGATCTTCCCAAGTCCAAGTTTGGTGCTTTATCTACCTAACTGCCAAAGCACTTTCCTCATAACAATTCAGGGAGATGGATTGTTCAAATATGATTAGTATTCCCATTTTATCAATGAGGAAGCTGAGGTCCAGGTTGGGGAAATAACTTAGCCTCCCTCTCCCTTCTACTCCATAGGATAATGCAATCTCAAAGCATACAAGGTCTTTGGATTCCTGGAGGCCCCTTCACGAGGCCAAACTATTTTCATAACAATACTAAGACATTGTCCATTAAAATACTACCCTTTCCAACTACATATCTATGTGAGGCCAGATTTTCTTCATATACTTCAGCCAAAATAACATGTCACAACAGATTGAATGCAGAAGCAGATGTGAAAATGCAGCTGTCTTCTGTTAAGTCAGATATTAAAGAGATTTGGAAACAAACAAACAAACAAAAAAACCATGTAAATCAATGCCACTCTTCTCCTTACTTTTTTTGTTTTGGAAAATAGAATGATTTCTTATAAAAAGATGTTATTTATGTTAACTTATAACAGATTCATTATTTTTAAATTTATTATTTATTAATTTTGCTTTGTTATATAAATGATTATTATATGATAATATATTGTAATTATAAATATATTTAAATTTTTTCAGTTTTAATTTCTATTATGTTCATATATGTACATATACACAGATATATTTGTGGGCTATATAACACATCCCACATAAAAGCTTTTTTGGAAGTCTTCAAATTTTAAGACTATAAAGAGGACCTAAATAATTTTTTAAAATTTAAAGGAAGGGGCAGCTAGATGGCACAGTGGATAGAGCACCGGCCCTGGAATCAGGAGGACCTGAGTTCAAGTCTAGCCTCAGACACATAACACTCTAGCTGTGTGACCCTGGGCAAGTCCCTTAACCCCATTGCTTAGCCAAAAAAAAAAAAAGTAAAGGAATCCTCAATAACCTTTAAGAGTATAAATGGGTCCTCAATAATTTTAATTTAATTTTTGAGACCCCCATTTAGGGGTCCTGAGATCCAAAAGTTTTAGGACATTTAATATATTTATTTTAAATAATGGAAAAAACAAGTTCAGGATCCAGTTCTGCTGACCCCTCCTCTCAGCGTTCTTTCCACCAACGCACAGTACCCTTCATCACTTTTGACTCTGGGCAGACTAGTTAAACTGACGGATGCCACAGCTGGCTCTGACATCTGGGCTTTGTGGCACGGTTTTGTTTTTGGTTTTTGGGGTTTTTTTTCAAACTTTCTCTCTCTACAGGGGATGTTTTGGCTACAAAAATGCAAGATGAGCCCCAGGCTGGGGTCTTTCATGGCGGGCATTTTCACCATCTTCCTCACCATCCAGTCCCTCATTCTCGACTTGAACCAGACGTCTTCCTTCGGGAAGGATCCCAACAAATTCAACATCTACAAGGAGCTCCGTGGAGTGGTCTTCTGGGCTTTCAGTCACAAGAATAATATCACCATCTTCCTGTCCATCACCACGCTCCTGGCTAGCTGCTTCCTCCTCTACTCTGTGCACATGAAACTCTACCTGGGCCTCTTCATCTACATCCTCTGGATCATCACTTACGAAATCACCTGCTTCTCCCTAATCCTGCTCATCTCTCAGGCCATCCAGCCTCCCTTTCTGCCAATAAAGCACTTCCTGTGGATTAACCAAATTTCCCGCATGATCCTCCAGGCCTTCTGGCTACCCTTTGTCATGACCTATGCCTATAGTCTCTTTAAGGGCCCAAATCACTTGGCCAAGAAGAGTCCCCGTACCAAAAAGGAGTATGACACTGCATCAGAGTACTGGTCCCATATAGGTATAATGCCCTATGAACAAAAGCTCACCTGATCTTTGTTAGGAGAAAGGAAGAGAGGGAATCCAACCCTGGATTTCCAGGTCTCCCTACTTCCTACCCTCTAATCCCTGATCCTGATGCTGATTTTTTTTAACTAAAAGTAAATAAATTTATTCATAAAATAAAAAAGTTAGTTTTAGTTAGTTGCTAAAATATGTACAGTAATCCCCAAAAGGTGAATTGTTTTATTTCTTTTCCATGTGAGAACCCATCTATTCTGATGCTGATTCTAGTTCCAAGTTACTGAGGATCCTTTTATTTTTTCCAAGTAAGATTTTGTTCCGCAGGCAAAATGTGAGGGGAAGGGGGGAAATGTGGAGAGCAAGAGTGTGCTTGGACTGCTTGTTATCTGTATCTACTCATTTTGGTGCTTTGTAATAAATTGTCTTGCATTGTTCTTTACCTTTGGGTTGTGTTTCTCACCTTTGCCCTCTTCATTTTCTGTGTTACATTTTTATTTCCTAAGGAAGTGGCCTCAACCTCACAAGAAGTCAGTTCTCCTAGAGTTTCTGTCCAGGCAACGTAATGTAATCATTCATTCATTCATTCACTCAGTTAACAAATGCTTCCTAAACAATCTGCTATGCACAATGTACTATAGCAGGTGCTAGGAGAGATTTAAAAAAAAATATTAGTAAGAAGTTTTTGACCTTAAAGAATTCATGGTCTAGTTCAAGTAATGAGACAGATACACAGATTCAAATAATTTAAATCTGAATAGATATTCAGGCTACAAAGGGCTCTGGGATCAGAGGAGGTACAGAAACCTTTCTAGCTGAGAGGAGATTTAGGAAGGATTTCCTCAATCCATCAATCAATAAACATTTATTAAGTGCCTACCATGTGTCAGGCACTGTTCTAAGCTCTGGGGATACAAAAAAAAGCAAAAGACAGTCCCTGCCCTCGAAGAGCTTATAATCTAATGGGGGAGATAACATGCAAACAAGATAAATATACAAGATAATAATATACAATAATAATAATAATAATAATAATAATAATAATAATATACAAGATAAATAGGAAATAATTAACACAGGTATGAAGAGGGGTTGAGGAAGGCTTTCTGTAAAAAGCAAGATTTTAGTTGGGACTCAAAATAAGCCAGGAAGTCAGAAAGTGGAATTGGAGAGGGAGCTCATTCCAGGTACGGGGGGCAGCCAGAGAAAATCTCCAAAGCCAAGAGATGGAGTGTCTTGTTTGTAGAACAGCCAGGAGGCCAGGGTCACTGGATCAGAGCATACATGGCAGGGAGCAAGGTGAAAGAAGACTGGAAAGGTAGGAAGGAGCTAGGTTATGAAGGGCTCTGAATGTCCAACAGAGCATTTTGTGTTTTGGACATGTTGAGTTTAAAATATGTTAGTTGTACAATGACTAACGTTGATAGACTTAGCCCTTCTCAGCAACGCAAGGATCTAAAACATCTCCAAAAGTCTCATGATGGAAAATGCTATCCACATCTAGAGAAAGAACTATGGAATGTGAATGCAGATTGAAGCATACTATTGGCTCTTTTTTTCTTCTTCTGTTTTGTTTTGTTTCCTCTTTCTTGTGGTTTCTCCTATTGGTTCTAATTCTTCCTTACAACATGACTAATGTAAAAATATGTTTAGTAGGAATGTATATGTAGAACCTATATTGGATTGCATGCCATCTTGGGGAGGGAGGTGGGGAGGGAGGGAGAGAAAAATTTAAAACTCAAAAGCTTATGGAAATGATTGTTGAAAACTAAAAATAAATTAATAAAAATAATAAAGTGATACAGCTAAAAGAGTTGGTACAAAACATCCCCCCCAAAACTTGAGGTTCTCACAAATTCTCAAAAATATGCACAGTGTCCATATGAACTACACGATGGTAGTGGGACAGATATCTAGGATATATACATATGGGAAAGAATTAATCATAACCTCTATTGCTTCAGGACTTGTAAGTCCTTTCTATAACCCAATGCCAGCAGCTTATATCTGTCATGAGGGGTCAAGCTCCCTGAAGCTAACTCCTTCCTTGGGTAACTGTCTTTACTGCATCCATCTATCCTTGGTATATTTCATTGTTCTACTATCTCCTATGATGTAGGAGGAGAGAAAATTCCCTCTCCTCCACCCCAAATGTGATTGTCTTTCAGAGACCTGCTTTTGTATTATGGCTTCAAATCCCAAAATTAGGAACTCCAAATTGGAACACTCTTAAAATTGAACTGATCCATTTGAGACCTGACAGTTCAAGGAGTGTAACGATTCTCTTGACCAATCATGCTTTTACATTCTTGACCCAATTAAGGAGGAGTTCACACCTGATAAAGGGATCAGTGCATCTTGTTTATTGTTAAAACCTAATTTGATTTAGAGATTGATTTTTTTGACTCAGTCAAAGAAGCTTTCACACCTGATAAAGGTACCTGGAGTGGACACATTAAAACTTCAACAAGTTCTTATACTTAAAGTGAAGGGTGTAAATCAATTGTTGTATCTGCCCCTGCCCCTGCTAGTTTTCTAGCGTCCTGTGAGCAGGACTTGAGTTTCACCTGTCTTTGTAGCCCAAGGTGCCTTATAAATGCTAGCTGCTGAATAGATGTCTGTTGAATTAGATCTTGCCCTAGGTTACTGCCAAAGAGTTAAAGAAAATCAATTAGAAGTTCAAAGTGTGGTCCATTAAAGCCGATTCAATAAATATTAAGAACCAATGATGTACAGAATATTAGGCTAGATTTTAAGAAAAAGTTTAGACAAGATGGGTTTCCTACCCTAAGATAATTTCATTTTTTGTATTTGTACGCAAGTGCAAAATCTGGCCTCAGACACTTACTGTGTGACCCTGGGCAAGTCACTTCACCATGTTTGCCTCAGTTTTCTAATCTGTAAAATGAGCCGGAGAAAGGAATGACAAACCCCTCCGGTATCTTTGCCAAGAAAACTCCAAATGAGGCCACATGGAATCAGACACAATTGAACAACAAAAAATTCTACATGGTAATTAGCAGAGCCAGAAATAAAACTCAGGTCCTTTTGCTTCAAATACAGCATTGCCTCCTTATCCAGAATCTGTAACTTCTCCTGAAACATCAAGGATATTAGTGTTCAGGTAGTGTTCAAATTTACCTCTATAATGGTTACCATGAAAATTCTTCTCGGTCCCTTCAAAGGTCATTGGGAGTTGGTGGAGGAGGAAATTGAGGTGTAGAAAGTCACTGGCCTAAGGTCACAGAGATAGGAAGCAGTAAGCTGGCTTTAGAACCCAGGTCTGATGAGATCCCTTAGCTTGAATCTATGATACTATGATAAATGTTGAATCAGGGAGAGGGTGGTGCAGTTCCCCTAATGGACACAAGGTGGCAGTCCAGGAATAGGATTTTTCTCAATCTTAATCTCTTTTCTTTTCCCCTTCCCTTACAGGGAGTGAGTTGCAGGTTGGGGGGGGGGGGTGAAAGGATGATGAGAAGGGAAAAACAGGTATATGAAGGGAACCTGCCAGAAGAGGCTCAGGAAATACTAGAAAGGCAGGCAAAGAAAAAATAGCCATTGATGATCTCTGACTTCAAATTTCAAAAGCCCTTGTAACAAACATACATAGTTGAGCAAAAAAAAAAAAAAAATCCCGCCATTGGCATTGTCTGAAAATGTATGTCTCATCTTGCATCCTGAGTCCATCACCACTCTGTCAGGAGAAGGGTTAGTGTGCTTCATTCTCCACTGGTCCTCCAGAACTGTGCCTGTCACCACATTGATTGAAGTTATCAAGTCTTTCAATGCTTTTTATTTTTTATTTTTATGATGTTAAAGTTTATACATATACATATATATATTTTTCCTATTTCTGTTCAGTTTACTCTGCATCAATGCATAGAGGCCTTCCCAGGTTTCTTTGAAACTGTCCATCTTGTCATTTGTTTTGCTGAATTATTATTCTGTACATCCTTTGTTTAGACGTCCTTTAATAGGTAGGCACCTCCTTACTTTAGAGTTTTTTTTAATTCTCCCTGGGAGACTGTCAGCAAAAAAACCAAACAAACCAAAAAACCCTTGTTATCTACCACCTGATAGGCAGGAAGTTGTTTATGTAGTCAAACAAAGAGAACTTTTGGGTTCACCTGGCTGTGTAAAAGACTATTTTTTTCATGAAACAGCTAAAATTGAAACTAAGCGCTGCTATCAGTGATACATACCCAGAATCAAGATTAAAAAGGGACTTTTGGAGGGCTCACAGACTGAACCTGTTAGTAATAAAAAATTCATTTGGACTAAATACATATAGGAATTTCTGATCACGTGCCCCATTGATAAAAACTCTTGAATGCCACTGCACAGGGTGCTACAGAAATGTTGTTCTTCAATTGGGAATGACTCTTTGTGACGCCGTTTGGGGGTTTCTTGGCAAGGTGCTGGAGTGGTTTGCCATTTCCTTCTCCAGCTCATTTTACAGATGAGGAAATGGAAACAAACAGTGACTTGCCCAGGGTCACATAGCTAGTAAGTGTCTGAGGTCAGATATGAACTTGGGTCTTCTTGACTCCAGGCCCAGCACTTAGCTGCCCTCTGTACAGAGATCTATATATGAATAGATTGTAAGGCACTTTGAGGGTTTATTCATCTTGGGCCTATCTCCCAACAGATCCAAGCTCAGTTTCTTGCCCACAGTCATTGTTTTGTTCTAGACCTCAGATTTCATTAAATGTAGGGAATCTCTGGGTTTGGAAACTCCCTCCAGGGATGCAGAGGGGCAACTCCTGTGCTAACATAAGGTCTTGCATTGTTGCCTGGGGCACTAAGAAGTTATGGGACTTGCTCTTGGTCACTAATCTTTTTTTTTTACATTTTTTTGGGGGGGCTAGGCAATGGGGTGAAGTGACTTGCCCAGAGTCACACAGCTAGTGAATATTATGTGTCTGAAGTGGGGTTTGAACTCAGGTCCTCCTGAATCCAGGGCCAGTACTCTATCTACTGTGCCACCTAGCTGCCCCCATGGTCACTAATCTTGTAAGAGGCAACCATATGGTATGGTGTACAGCGCGTTGGACCTGGAGTCAGGAAGACCTGAGTTCAAATCCAGATGCTAACTGTAACTCTGGGCAAATGACTTAACGTCTGTGTGCCTCAGTTTCCCCAACAAAAAAAGGGGATAATAATAGTGCCTACCTTGCAGGATTGTGAGGATCAAATGAGATATTTGCACAAAAGCACAGGTACTATGTACTTATTTCCTTCCCTTCACTAAGCTAAGCTAATATGGGTGAAAGGGTAAAATTTGAACTTGGCCCTTCCTGACTTCCTCTAACCATTTGACCACACTGCCGCTTTTTAATTCTTTAGAAATTGTGGTATTAAATGATTTGCTGCACATATGCATCTCACTTGAAGAATAT